GCCTCCACCGTCACAGGCTGAGCCTGAAGCTGATTGGTGGAAAGCAGCTTCCCGCAGGTGGAGGGAAACCGGTCAGATGGGATCAGCCCAGGACGCCAAAGCTGCAGCCGCACTGAGGGCTCCAAAGGGTCTCGGACTGATGGAGGTGTGGGTGCTCTCTGTGGCCCTCCTGCAGGGTAAGATCAGCTCCTCTTCCTCACTCAGCCTCCAGGCCTTCGTCCTGCTCTGGGTCACTCTGAGGGGGCTCAGACCTCCCACTTCCTGCCTCGGTTGGAGGAGGAAGCAGAGAACAGCCCTCTGTGTGCTGAGCTCTTCCAAGTGGACCAGGAAGAACTGGTCCAGATTTAGAAACCAGGGAATAACTGGTCAAGGTCCAGAGTTTATCAGCATGCTCTGGGGAGACTGGTGGAGGTTCATGAGGGGGCGGAGTCAGTGCTGCTGCCCTGTGACTTCATTGGCGATCACCCTGAGGACAACCCCCACCTCATGTGGACCCGTGAAGACCTCAGCCCCAAACGCGTCCACCTGCAACGAGCTGAAAAAGACAATCTGACAGAACAAAACCAACATTTCAGAGGACGCACGGCCATGACACCTGACGCCCTGAAAACGGGAAACTTCAGCCTCACGCTGAGGAACCCCCAGCTGTCTGACAGCGGAGGCTACAGCTGCTCCATCAGCGACGGGAGGCTGGAAGACAAGGTGGCAGAAGTTCAGCTGAAGGTCAAAGGTGAGCGACGGGCTCCAGACGGAGGTTTTCCGTCTGGATGATAATATGTTTATGTCATGTTTATGCATTTGGCAGACGCTTTTATCCAAAGCGACTTACAGAGTAAACAAAATATTACATTTCTCATCACTATGACAATAAGCTATACAGAGGAGAAACACTGATCAGAGTCAGTGGTGAGATAGAGATAGAGGTAGAGGGGACCACAAAAGGAGCTGTGGGGGGGTAGAGGTACGGGTTAGGGTTAGGATTAGGATAGGAGATGCTCTTTGAAGAGGTGGGTCTTCAAGAGTTTCTTGAAGACAGACAGGGACTCTGCTGTTCTTGTGGAGCTTGGTAGGTCGTTCCACCATCTTGGAACGACACATGCAGACAGTCTGGATGGTCTTAAGCGTGGTGAAGGCACTGCTAGACGACAATCCATTGATGACCGGAGTGATCGAGTTGTGACATAAGCCTTTGCAAGAGGATTCAATTAGATGGGAGCCGTACCCTTAAGCACTTTGTAGGCTAGCATCATTCATCAAAATCATTCATTCCTTCTCAGAGTTGTAATCTTTGGTGTGTCTGCTTTGTCTCACAGCCAGAACTGCTGGCTGTGTGAAACACCGCAGGAAAAGCTGAGGAGGCACCTGAGCAGGGTGGCACCTGAGAAGGGTGTGTATGCGGAGAAACACACCTAAAACACACCTAAAGAACGGCTGGAGGAGGCCAAGAGGGCCGAGGAGGCCACCGAGGAGTGGGCACGGAGAGGCAGAAACTGGGACTATGAGGAGATGTGCAGGCGGTACCCCCACAGACCATCCGGGCTGGCTCTTCTGGAGGAGCTGCCACAGAGAGTTTTTTGTGAAAAACGCCCCAAGCCAGGCAGAGCTGGAAAGTGCACAGCTACCGTTCCCCCTCTTACTGAAGAAGCCGGTGGCGTCTCGGTGGAGCCACCAGCGGCGAGGACAGCAGGCAGCTCCGCTCATCCAAGTGACACAACATGGCAAAAGTTTATTTGATTAAAGCAACACATCTGTTTCAGGCTAAAACCAACAAACACAGAAAACAACACTGCAACAGGACAAACAGTAGATGTTTCCTTTTGCGATTCTGTGGTGGGAACTGTACTTGTACTTAAACATGTTTTTGTCTTTAATTCTTTCTATGCTGACAGCTATTAAAACATTTAATTTGAAATTTCCAGAAACTATAGTCCAGTTTCTTTCCTGCAGGTAGTTTTAGATACACAATAATGAAGGCAGAAGCTCCATGGAGCTCTGGGTTCTGGACCAGCATGCTTCTGCTGCTACACTCTGCTCTGTTTGCTGGGGCTCCTCACTTTAAACTGAGTCTGGAAAGAAAACATCTCAAACTGAGCACTGTTCAATAAAACGTCATAGAACTTAAAATAATGTCCATGCTGACATTAAAAATGTTTCACTGTCCACTTTATGCAGTGAATGAAGCCCATTCTGTAACGACCAGATCAAAAACCAGACCCCGGTTAGCCTTAAAAAGCTGATTTCACCACTGGAGCTAGACGGAGGCTGGACAATTATTGATAAAAGATAGTTAACTTTTCACCCCAAGAAATAGACGTTCAAAGCTTCACAACAACAGCACATATCAGACACAACTCTCTCAGGATATTAACCATGATAGTTTTTGTCCACCTGCTGTTTGGGATGAGGATAAAAAATGTGTATTAGGATTCTAACAAAAATACATTAAATGAGTATAGCTCAAGGAGGCTTTATTAAAAAAAA